GGGGTGTGGGCGATGGTGGTGGACTGTGGGGTTGGGAGCGGGACGGGGGGTTTGGCAGGGATGGTGCTCGTTGTGGGGGTGAGCTCTACCGTTGTCTGGGCAGGGATGGCGGGACCAATCTTTTCCTTCTCCTCATCCGCTGTCAGACCCTTCGCCTTATGGATGGCCTCGATCTGCTCCTGTAGGGTGATGTTCTTCTGTGCAGCCCGTGTCGTGGCCTCCATACTGGCCGTGTGGCCGTCCCACGTCACCTTGGTCGTCTTCTTCTCCTCCTCTCCAAGTTTGCGACCGATGCGCGTCTCCTCGTCACCGGCGCCGAAGATATCGGTACGGCGCTCAGCCAGCATCTTCAGGCTGCTGTCGATGGCAGAACCTGTGGGAAATGCAGGGTTTAACTTTGGTGCAACATAACAGCCGAAGGTGCTGAATAAGGAGACCCTTTCCACACAACAAAGAACTTTATTCAGATGTTTCAGTGACCGTATGCCACTTTTATCAGGGCAAAAAGCAATCTCAAACATCTTGGATAAAATACTGACTTGACAAAGAAAGCTGCAGATTTTATCTTGCAAACTCCATGATTTTTCCTTAAACTGTCATCATCAGTCCACCTTTCAATTCTTCCCAAACTAACATCTACAGACAGAAGAGGCATGGAGTCTTACCTGGAGCGAAGACCTCCTCCTGCGACTGTTTCTCCTTGAGGGAGCTCTGTTTCTCCTCCACCCAGCGCGGGTCCAGCAGGCTGATGCGCATGTGCTCCTGCAGCTTGTCCACCGGGATCCGCTCGCCCGTGATCGGGGACACAACCCACGCTGTCGTGTCCTGGATGGTTGGCGGCTGGATACGTGCAGCTGGAGAGACATACAGGATTACATTGTAGATTTATATTCTCTTAGGTACAAACATTGACAAGAATTTATATTCTCTTAAGTACAGACAATAACAATCATTACACTTTGATCTATATTGTCTTAATTGACAAGCATTATAATCTATATTTTGATTTATATTCTCTTAGGTACAAAGAATTGACTAGCCATATATTTTGATGGTTTTCTACTCCAGAGTCGAATTTTATCCACATAATACACAATAGCAAGATTAGTTTCAGTTATATGTTTCACTTACATCTGCTGCTCTAAAATTGATCAAATTTAACAATCCTTATGTAAAGAATTGTTTTGAATACATGTATAGACAAACAATGGTTTGTGATTGTTAAGAAGTAAACACCAGTATGAACTTTTAGTATTAACATTCTTTCTTGACATTTTGGAAATATTTACTTGTGATTGATTGATTGAACTTCCAATACACAGGACTTACCTTTGGGATCGTAGTCTCTTCTGATCTGCACCTCCTCCGGCTGGGGCGGCAGGGGGGGAGGCTGGGGGAGGGCCTCCTCGGGGGGAGGCTGGGGTGGGGGGGTCGGGGCATCCTCATCCACATCTGAGTCCTGGAGAGGGAGGGAAATATAAGGATTCAAAACCCTAGTAGCTGAAGATTCTACACAAATATTTTCAATATCTAACAAAACCTGTTTTTATCTATTGAAAAGGGTTTTGGTGTTGAGAAAACTATGCTGCATTTTTTCAACAGCTGATGATAATTCTGCACTGTTATTACTTAGACAGTATTACTGTATATTTGCAGTTTCTAACTTTATTATTAGCAAACTCTTGTGTGTTGCATCATAAAGGACACCTACCCCTTCATCCATGTCCTGTTCTGTGGTGTCTGCTGTACCAGGCAGTGTTGGACCTTCATCTTCTGTGGAAGAATGACACAGTCAATTTTCTGTTAAAATGTGTGCTAAAAATTATTTCGGACTTGAGTGAAGTCAAATGCCCCATTAATTAATTAAAAGACCACCTTTGAAGAAGAGTTAGCTCTAACTAGAGATAACTTGTTCAGAAAAATAGTTCAAACTTGAGATAACTTTCACTCTGAGCAAAAATGCACACCATTCATTCAATGTCCTGCAAATTAACACAACAATCTACCTTCATAGTAGTGTGACTAGATTTTTGCTGGTTCACCCAAATTTATTGGGTTGGGAGCACCAGTGCTCCTAAGCCTAAAAGTAAGTCTGAAGCCCTGTAAACCACCCACCGTCCTCTGATGAAGCCTCGTCCATATCCTCCACCTCCATCTCCACCTCGGACGGCTCCACGGTGTGACCCTTCTCCATCCGCTCCTGGATCAGGATACGCGCGCCCAGCTGGTCAGGCGTCGTGGGCGGCGGCAGGTTAGCTACAGGGGGAGGGGGAACATTTGGGAAATGTTTGTAAGAACGTCTACTTCCTAATCTTATTCCAGATCATGATGCAAACAGTCAAACACCCATATCAATAGTTATGGCAGTGAAATAGATTACTACTTAAGTACATAGATGAACTGGAATATTTTGCTGTAGTACATAATTCACAAATTACATTGCACATGTTTTCTTCATTTTTTTTCACTCACTGACGAAGAGTTTACTGATGTTTAGTTTATGTTCTTCTAGAAGTAGACACACATGATGTTTTATAATCATGAAGCTGAAAGTTAACATGCATTTGTTCAGTACCATCTTATATCTAACAGTATGTGGTGGAAATACAGGCACTGTTATTGACCTTTACTTGATCTAGAAACACACTTGTACCTATTTCATGTGGCTGGAAGTCCACCGTCTCCACCACCACAAAGTCATGCCAGTCAATCTGCAGGAAGGCGACTCTCTCCCTCTCTCGTTCATCCTCCTCTCTCTTCCTCTCTCTCTCCTGGAACTTCTCCCACTCCACCCGGTACTTCACCTGGTTCATGATCTCCCTTGGGTTGTCTCCCTCCTTCTTCAGCTTAGACATCAGGTTCTTGGGTGGGATGAGAACCTACAAGAGAGGTAACAGTTATACTGAGCATGCTGTCAGAACATACTGCACCTATGTGAAAGCCAGATTTTTCACGGTTTTCATTAATTTGGTCAATGTTGCATGAGAATTTTACCTGTTACAGACACTGTCTAACAGCAAGGTTAAAAATTTTTAACCTCCTTGCTAACAGTATAGTTTTCAACACAACAATTGAAAACTACAGACAGGATGTCATAATACATTACAGGTTTCACACAGGCGCAGTACCTTCTGCCGATGTGCTGTTATATCAATGACATCATCAACCTATTGTTATGACCTATGAGTCCTGTATGAATGGTGTACCTGTAAGACACACAACCACTTACATAAACCACTACCTTTTGTCCATCCAGATACCAGGCTGCAACATCACCTCTTACCTTAGTGTACTGTTCTACCAGCTTGGTGAAGTAGTTAAATAGACTGTGTTGCGGCCGGAGAAAGTCAAACTGGTAGTTCCTCTGTTCCTTGTTCATCAGGTTGGTGAGAAACTGGCGACCGTTGCGCGCCACGAACTGTGCTGTCAGCTTCACGATGTCCAGATCGTACGCTGAGATGGAGGGAGGGTCGGCCACGAACTCAAACTCTGCTGGCGGCTCTTTGGGGACAATTGTCTCTTGTACTACCTGTGGCTGGGAGACCTGGAGGCAGAGAAAACATCAGAAACACATCATCATCATGTCTCTGGATTAATCCAGTGAGGTAGAGTATGTATATGTTTGATAAAGTCACTCCAGTACCCCCAGTCCCTCACAGCAGACAGAAAAGCAGTCCTTGCAAGACCAGTGTCTCTCTCTATCATTGGCACAAAGGTGTAATACAAAATAAAAAGGTGCTACTATTGGCTTTTGAGAAACAGAAATAGAAAAGGACTTTCTTGACTGAAATACTGTATCTGCAGGATACCAGAGACATCAGATTCTGTTCTGTGATCACAGAAACATACATTCAGTAACAACAGTGTTCAGAAATTGATGAGAATAGAAAAGACAGTTATGAACTAAGAAGACAAACCTTCGGTGTCTGGAGCTGTGACAGGTTCGTGACCTTTGGGATCATCGACTCCTGAACTTTGCCCTCCTTGATGTCAGTGACCTTGTGCTGGTAGTAGGCATGGTAGGGGTCATCTGTAATAAGAGGTCAGGGTGTCAAGGGTCTGGAGAAAAAACTCTGTAATTTAGTGTAAAGCACAATGCTGTCTCGAATATCTAGAATTCAATTTTCATTGATAAGTGATTGTAAGAATTTTCCTAAAAGAAATACTGAACATGATGATTATTCTGAAAGAAATTCAACTTTCCAGTGCTATAGATTTATACATGTACATTCTGATACTAAGACACACAGTGACAAGGGTAGACTGTGAAAAGTGCTGTGCCATTCAAGACATTGTGGTGTGGTGTGAAACATGTTTTTTTTTTTTAAAGACTTGAGCTACAGTCTTACTTGGGTTGAGGAAGTTGAACTTTGGGTTGTTGATTTCGTTCTGTCGGATCCGGGACTCGAACTCAGGCCCGTTCCTGGCCACGAAGCTGGCAGTCTTGTCCACAATGTTCCTGACCTCGGGAGGAGGGTAGATGATGCCCACCGTGGGCTTCTTGGTCTCCGGAGCTGCAGGCTGCTCATTAGGCTACAGACGAGACCAAAGTAATTAAGATAAGTATACTATTACACTAATTTTTCTTTGGATATCAACATATATTATAAAAATCACTTAACAACATAAAATGATAAAGCTAACATAATTTGTCTTTTATTTGTACTATCGTAGTCTTATACCTAAAAGATATCACTATCAGTCACTGCCATATACACATGTAACAAGAGTGCTGAGCACATACAAGAGAAGCAAAGTTGTGAAACTACAAAACAATATTTTGTGAATCAAAATTTTTGATTCACAAAATATTGTTTTGTAGTTTCACAACTTTGCTTCTCTTGTATGCTTGCTTAGCCATATAGTATAGAGGATTGCTATGTCAGATCAAGGTTAGGAGCTCCTTGGGAATAGATCGCTTGTACAGTTTTGTAGCATTTTCTTTACTACAAGAAGTGACTTGTTATATGATTTTCTTTAGACCATCATCAGGTGCAAACGGCCCAAACAGTTTGGAGGTCTGAGAAACGTCCCAAACACGTTGTTGCGCATCATCTCACAACACATGACGCAAAATAAATCTGGTCAAAGAAACATAACTACAAAATCAGGCACGGCGATACTAACCTCCGGAGGGGCTTGAGATTGTACTTCAACGGCTGGCATGTTGATGAGCGGTAAAATACGATCTTGGGGGAGAAATTACGTCTCAAAACACAGACATTTCGGAAAACGCCGCACAATCCTAAACCAAAATGGCTTCCCCTCGTAATCTCGTTTCGTCTCGCGAGAGAATAAGAGAACACAAAATAGTCTCGTAAACAGCCACTAAAAAGGACATTCCTTATGTTTTATCTTTCCTCTGTGATCAGTTGCTGAATGATATTTTAGAAGAAAAAAATATTTAACATTATCTATTCTAACATAAAAACAAAATGTATAAAATTTACGCTCTTAAGATTATATTTCTTTAAGATCTTCTTTTCTTTCTTAAAAGTTTCCTCTGTAGCCTGATTTGAGATTAAGACTTGCGCAGGACGATGCGCAGTGGCCTAGATTCCACAACCGGACAAAATGGACGTTGCCGATGTAAACAATCCTTGACAACGCCAGGTTTTCACGCCAGTAACTTCTCTTTCGCTTCATCTTTAGACCAGGTATGACTTTCTGTGTTTGTATGAATGTTTTATGTGTTGTTTAATTAATTTTGGTTGAGATACGCTCTCGAATTCCGGAGCTAGAGCGATGTGTTAGTGAGTAAACCTGTCGTCAAGTTCAACAGGTGGGGAGGGGGGCTAGTAGTGTTACGCTTGTTGTAGTGGTATGAACGAACACATATTTTTCAAACAGAAAAAAATTAATAGCACGATTTCTATAATTGACAACTAAGCGTAACGACTGTGTAGTGCCCCCAATGAAGCAGAAATCAAGTTCCCGAGCCATCAAAAAAGTTTACAAACAGGTGTCTTTTTTCAAAAATTAATTCTTGATCAATCCAGACCTATGTGTTTCTTCGTGATGCAGTGCAGTTCCTCTGTTCCAGGTTGTTATATAATTTGTTCCCAGGATGGCCCAACTATTTACAACACATTCATGAATATAGGCTGTCCTCAGAATATCCCCAGTTTACTGTCATAACCTATTGTGAGGCTGCTGAGCTAGGAGGACACAACTCGGTTACTCGACCATTCATCTGTTCCAGGTTGTTATTGTGCCCAGATTGGCTCAACACATTGATTTTGTGTGTAGGCTGTCTCAAGAATAATGCCTTTATTTTTACTGTCGTAACCTACAGTATTTGGAGCTTGATCAAGTTGATGTAAGTTTATTTTTTATTGTAACTGCTGTTGCAGGTTGTTATTGTGCCCAGCATGGCCCACCTCCTGGGTAGCCAGTTCTGCCTGGACAGTCTGCACAATGATGTGCTGGACGTGCAGGCTGCCGTCATGGAGGTCTTCTCACGGGTCGGGCCGGTCAGGTGAAGTATTCTTTTGGTTCTTTCTTTGTGTGTGTTTACACAAATACACAATGCAGCATTACCATACATGCCATTGTTTTTGTCTGTGGAAGTGGCAGCAGTATGTTTGATTAAGCCAGGAACATTACTGTTTGTTATTAAGGAGTTTCATGTCTAGTGTGTTTGGTTGTTTGTGCCCAGGTAATGGCCTCATGGCCAAGCACATCAGTTCTGTTCTTAAAAGATAGACAAGCTGTGCTACGTCATTGGCATAAGTAGTAAGTTTATCATACTGTAACATGTATGAAAGGAAGGTTTTCTGTATACGTCTGTTTGGTATTTAATGTACTATATCAAGCAATGTTATACCGTGTACACAGATATCCCTCCTGGAAGTTCCCAGATAAGATCTCGTGTGACATCAACATAGAGGAGCTGCTGGAGAGGTTCCAGTACAGCGAAGACCAGGAGGACCAGGAGGACAACCAGGTCGCACATATCATGCTGTTTGAACTGGTTATCGACAGGTTAGTAAGTCACCGGTAAAGACCTTGTGCTTGTGTGGTTTTATTTTCCTATATGGAAAGTTTATGAATAAAGGCTCTGTACTTAAAAGTTGTTACAGTTGCTTTTCCACAGCTAGCCTGGGTTCCATCCTCCGTAGTTTCCGCCAGCTCAGTACCTATTGCCGTGTGTAGCCAGTGACATTAGGGAGCTGGCGGAAACTACGGAGAATAGAACCCAGGCTAGGTTCAGCTAGAAGCAAGATCAAATACATGACTTGTGTGATTAGTAACATTGGATTTCTTACATCTCTATAGGGATACCATACCTATTAAGGTATGGTATCCCTACCAATGTCATTGTACATCCGAATTTTCTGTCTTGGCTTTGAAAACTATAGGATTTGGTAACAATACCTTATCCTTGAGGACTCCTGCTAAGTGTATGGATTGTGTAACAGTAACTTAATCAATAAATGTCTCTCCCACCCCTTCCCCCAGACTGATGCTCCTGATGCAGAGTTGTTCGAGGTTTGCTGACGTGATGCTGAACGCCGGCCAGAGTCGGCCGCAGACGGCGGCGGGCCTGAGCTCCTCCCTGTCCCTGGGGCTCGTCATCAAGAAGTACTGGAACAAGATGGTTCAGCTCTGCACCATGCTGCAGCAGCTACAGTCAGAGGTAGGAATATAGGATGTAGGTACAACAACTGGTAGTCGGGTTACCAAAAAAAAACTATTCAGCCATCTCCGCAAGTAGTGAGCTGAAATAGGTTTCATAGCCAAGAAAACACCTGGCTTGTCAAAATTCTCTTTGGACACTTACAAATTTTGTGTCTGTCTAGACTTAATGTATCTAGGACTACCATTTCATTGTTTTATAAAATGTTAAATCATGTGCCTTTTGAAAATTATTTTAATTACTGAATCTTGGTCTTTGTGATGAAAGCTATGTCATGAGATTTTTTATTCAAATATGACTGACACATATTGTACTGTCTTACTCATTCTCACAGTGATATACATTATAAACATTTCTGCTAGACATTCAAGATCAGCTGGTTAGAGTTTCCATATGTCAAAAGGTATCATTTATTTTCCAGAACAAAACCAAGGACAGAAAAATAGCCAAGTATGAAGCAGCGCTGTCCAAACAGCAGAGACAGAATGCTGTCAAGGACTTGTCAGCTTCCACCGTCTTCTCTACTTCTGAACTCAGCTTGTCCGACCTGAGTCTTCACGACACAACAGGGACAAGTAAAGGAGGCTTGTCTTCAACCTCTCCTCCCTTGGACTTTGCCCGAGATGTTGGTACAAAGGCGTGTCAGACACTTGAGACGGCGTTTGTGCCTTGTGAGGCCTGTTTTAGAGTACAACAGAACCTCGTAGATGTTGGCAACAACGTCATCAACGTTTGTCAAACACAGGGGCTCCCGTCGTCGCTGAAGACTTATAAGGCTCAGCAGCACCTGGAGACAGAAATGTCAGCTGCAGACGTCTCCAGGTGGACAGCTGAACAGAACAAAGACATGCAGAGGATCAACAAGCACCTGGAGAACTTAATGTCCCAGATTAACCCGCTGAAAGAAGAGGTAGCAGCAGCAGAAAGGGAGAAGGCAAAGCTGCAGAAGAGAATAGACGGATTCGACGGGGAGTTGAGAAGAGAGCAGGAGGTACAACGAGCGGAACTCAGACAGAAGGAGGAGAGGATGAAGAGAGTGGAGGAGGCGAGTACAGAATCGTTAGCAAGGATGGAGAACATCAACAAGGAACTGAGTGCAGGAAAGAAGGAGTTAGAAGAGAGAGTAGACAGGATGAGAGTTGAGTTGGATGGACAGGAACATACCATCAAGGAACTGGGTAAAGATTTTTTTATTGGTATTGGCACTGTTCATTGCATACAAAGCACAGACAGCATTGCTGACTTCATGCACCACGATTTACGAAAATACATTCAATAAATGTACTAGTAACATTAGATTGGTACATGTTACAAAGGGTCTTCATCTTCAGTTGGTTAAGTTTTCTTTCATTGTTTTATTTTAGTGGTTGGGTTGGCCACCAGAAGTGTGACAGGCTAATGATTACTGAGTATGTTACAATAGTTTTACAGTTGTGTGTTGCAAGAGTAGGAAAAATTTTCTGCCTTCAATTTTTCAGAGGTGATGAAATCAACCCTCCTGCTGGAACTGAAGGATGGACTGGCCAACAAGTCGGAGGTGGAGCAGGTGCAGGACCAGCTGCAGCAGGTGCAGGAACAGCTGCAACAGGTGCAGACTAAACTCTCAGACACAGAAAAGGAGTACAACAAGGAGCAAGCCAAGAACAGGAGCCTAGCAAAGCATGACCAGGTAGGTAGAACTTCTATAGAATCTTGACATTTAGTTATGTGCTAAGAATAACTTATGATTAGAGTGATATGAAATGCAGATGTCACAGATATTTTTATGACATTGATGCCTCCCTTTTACAATTGGGCCATGTAAAATGAATCAGACAAGGACACTGCCTGTAGTGCCCAAGGCAAAGGAGTACTGCAATATATGATAGTCCAATTACAGAAACATGTGAAGAAAAACTTTTGAAGCAAAAACATTATGAAGCAAGTTTAAACTGCGATTTCCTACACTACACAAGAAATTGAACTTACCCAAATTTTCCGCTGTACAACTGCAGACTTGATCAAAGTTGTACAGTAAAAAATTTGGGTAAGTCCAATTTCTTACGTTAAAAATTACAGTTTAAACTTGCTTCATGATGACTTTTACCAACACAGATAAACTTTTAGATAAAAAACATAATTTGTTTACGCTTGGTTGCCCCCACAGTCGATGCAGGCAAAACATGACAGCCTGATACAGCGTCTGGATGAGCTTGACCAGGAGTGCGAGGAGCTTCGGACAGCGGTCAGCGAGCAGGACGAGGGTCAGGAGGGGTTACGGGAGGAACTGGACAAGGCTCAGGCCGATAGGACACGGGCACAGGAGCAACTACAGGCACAGAAGGTAGGGGGAAGTTTCTATTGTGTTTGTAATGAGGGATGAATAGATTGGAACTTAATGATATTAGAATATTTTGTTTTGTTATGATGATGATGATTATTTTGTTATGATGTTGAATTGTACAATTGGGTCATAACTAAAAATGTAGCGACAGAGAATGTGTGATTTTTCCCCTAAATGCCCCCAAAGTATAAACATGTTGTAGTATGATTTTGCTTAAACTTAACACAATATTATTGCTTGTTCATACTGGTTTCTCACAAGGCATCCTCAAAAAGGGAATCAGCAAAGCATGCAGTAAGTGGTTGGGTCTATGGTGTAACATCTGAGTTATAGAATGTGTTTCTAAGTTTCATCTACAGTATATTTTGGCACTGACAAAGAACACTCTCCACAAGAGTTCTACACAAAATGACACTCTATAAAGTCATCTAAATCTGTCATTACAAAGGTCATTCCAAAGGTCATCTAAATCTGTCATTTCGAAGCATATTGTGAACATGCATCTGTGCACTGTCTTTAATTTTTACGAGTGATAGCATTTTTATGCCACACACAGAATCTTGCTGCTAGCTCTTTATTATGGTTAAAATCTCACAAACTGAGGATTTGATACCTTTTAATGGATGAAGGAACTTTATTGTATGTTTATGCTCTTACAAGCAAAGTACAGGTCATGTATAAAGCAGTAAAAGTAAAATCTATGGTTGTATCACATTGAAACAGGAGCTGATGGAATCCCTGAACAAGGAGAAGTCGTCCCTGCAGGACCTGCTACAGACACTAGAGGGCAGCGTTGACCAGATGAAGCAGCAGCTACAGGAGGCGCAGGAGAGGGAGAAACTTCTGGTGCAGTACCCAGACCTGCATGGCCCTCCCAGCTCACACGTCACGGAAAGTGAGTTTTCTTTTTTACGTCCGGGTATATGGAAGTATTGCTTTGGGTGGTTGAGCTGTGTGCCTGCTTATCCGGACAGTATAATTATAGTACAGTGGATTTGAATTCATTTCTCAAGCTAACTGATATCTAGCGCAAGTGCAGTCATACCTCAATAAGGCTATGTATAGCTGCATAGTTCCCATTCTGAAGTTTTAATCATCCTGTCACACATTGTTTTGGAGGGCTGACCATCTGCCATCTTCATATGGGCAATTATGACTGGTTCAATGTGCACTGAAGCTAGGTGTTACTGGTTCACTGTGCACTGAAGCTAGGTGTTACTACTAACAACGTGGTAAAGTAATTTTGGCATACATATGTTTTGTACATATGTTGTTATAAGTTAACATATCCCAATGTATCTGTTCCAGGCACAGGTGACATCCTGACAGACATGGAACGTCAGCTGACAGCCAACAACATCCGTATCCAGGTGTTACAGGACCAGAACCAGAGTCTGCGCAACTCCATCGCTAAACTCAAACAGGCCCAGCCAGCTACAGGACACAGCACACGGGTGAGATATGTGTACTTAGGAATAGTTTTGGTGTATTGTCTGAAGTGAAAAGTACATGTAGAACTACAGTCAAAACTTCCCAAGAATACCACACATCAAAGCACACCATATTCAGAAAATGTATTAACTATATTTAATTTAGCATCAAACAGATATTACTACCGGTAGTATGATATGTTATAAATTGTTTGTTTGTCTGTGTTTACTCATGCTGTTTGTGTTGCAATGGCAGGTTTGTTATCTATGAGTGAGCCCGACAGAAAGACGGGTGCACCAGACAAATGACAAGGACCATTGACAGAATAACCTGGATGGCAGACAGACTGACAGACAATGAACAACTCAGACTCATTCTTTCACAATAAAATCATCTTTGCTTGCACATTTCCACCTCTGTTTCTTCTACACTTTTCAATATTTGTAGGTTTCTAAATTTTGCAGATTCTTTTTTAAACAGGTAGGGCATCTATCATTGAAGTAAAACTGTTTTTTTCCCTTGATGCAATTTTGTTTCTGACCTTATCCTATCATATGGAAGGCTACTTAAGTAGAATCTGATGTTTATGTTGTGTTTTGTCCCCTTTTCCCCCCACAGTTAACAGAACCTGTGACTTTATGGAAGTCCCAGAGTCTGAACGGCCTGGAGCAGACACCACGGCGAGGCAGTGCCAGTCCGCAGACACCACCGAGGGCTGCAGAATGGGACACGTCAGTATATTAACAATCAATCAATGCTCCAGTGCCATATGGAAAAAAATCTTTTTGTATCTATGAGTTGAGTTGCAAAGGCATTCAGATGCACTGCAATAGTAGATGGTAGTACTGTAGTTTCTTGCTTCCTGTTATTACATGGTATAAACAATGCATGCTGTTAACTCAAAGCCATTAATTAATTGTCATGGTTATGCCACATTTATCTTATGATTGTATAACCCTCACTAAGATCCTTGTAGTTCTCTACCATAGTTTTTTGCTTAATACATACATGTAAGTTTTTTTAAGTAATGCACGCTGTTAAATCCAAGCCGCCTGTCTCTGCATGCAGACCTGCACCGGCACCGCTCAGAACCTCCCTCTCCAACCCTGACCTCTCCGACTCTGACAAGAGACCGCTGTCGGCTTACAGGACGCGGCGCTACAGCCCCGCTCTGGACGACACCATCTCCACCCTGGGGCTGCCCCCCAGACCCCCGGGAAAGACGTCGAGTGGCTCAAACAGGAGGGTGGGGAGTGCTGGCAGTACAGGGGGTGGGGGGAATGTGGCCGCACACAGCACTGCTGTCAGTGCAATCGATGTGTACAAGAAGATGAAACAGGTGGGTTAGAGTGTGTCTGAACTTTTCAGGTTTCACACGTGTATTTTTGGAAATGAATACTTGGAATGAAAAGTGGATGAAAAGGTCAGGCATATAGTCTTATACTAGACTAATACTGTAGACTTTTAGAGTTGCAAACAATAAAGATTGACTTAGTTATTCAGTGAAGGAAATTGAAATACTTTTCAATCAATGGTTTATTGTGGCAACTCAAAACAACCAAGTACTTAACAATGTACTGTGATAGAAGGGATTCAGTAAGATTTACCCACAGTTTCACCTTTTTTTAAATTCTTAAAGTCACAGTGCCATATACCAAGGAGCTTTCAACATAAGCACACTGCATATACATTGTTATATGACCCAGCCATCAAACAGTCTGTTGTGCCCGTGTTTTCTCAACAGGCAGGAGTTTTTGCCCCACAGAAGAACATGGACCTGGACATGAGGGAGAGTTTCACCATCGGGAGGGGGGCACCAGTCAAAGGTCAGGCCAAGGGCAGAAGACCTGGAAGTGGAGGGAAAGGTCGCAAGTCAGGTTTGTATACTAGTATTTTGTCAAAATTTTTTTCAAACTTTCAACTTCATTGAAACTTTTGAAACTGTAGTATCACATAAATTATGATGGTAATGAGACAAACTGAATGTTCTAAAATGATTAAAACATTCAAGTGTGATCAGGAGGTTCAGCCATGGATGATTGATGTTTGGAGGTAGGGTAGCAGTGTTCGGAGTTCAAATTTGATTCAAATGTGACACTCAAGATTTGATTTGCATAGGAAGGTAGATGTGGCCTAATAAATCTGTTCAGACTGCTCCTAAACTTCAGCCAACCTTGTTTGGTGGTTAGAGGAAGGTTCTGAATTTGTGACAGGCTTTAATGAAGAGTTTTTTCTCCTGTTGTGCAGAGACCAACAAGAGACCAGTGTCCAGAGAATCTCCCCATGACTACCACCGTATGGACACGTTTGTGTGTGAGGGCTGCGACAAGATGTACACCTCAGCTAAAGAACTGGAAATTCACAAGTCTTACTGCTACGGAGGGATCTAACAGGAAATGTCCTACATTCCAAGACGTCTAGATTCCTAATTAGCCTCTGATACCCCTATGTTCTGATGCCCCTGTATATGTATGTCTCAGAACCCCTATGTTCTGAGTTGTCAGAACGTGGGTTTAGAGTTGTCAGAATATAGGGGCATTGGAGCATACAGAAGGGTATAGCTTATGATGTACATGTAACACCCTAACAAAGACGACATTTCCTTCTTGTGCAGATTACATGAATTGAGATTCATGTGAGTTAGACCACTATGTGTCGGTTCTCCAAGCAGATGCAGTGTTGTATTGAATGTTTTTGATGGTCAATACCTACAGTTACTGTAGTTTTCTTCCATCAGAGGTGTTGCTTTGCATTGTTTGAAGAATTCTAGTTGTGCACCACTGCCAAAACTGACATGTTCATTCTAGTTAATAATATGTGAAACTACATGCATGTGAATTTAGCCTTTGAGAGAAAACACAGATGTTAACCATATTTGACACCAGGAATTCAACTCCAGCTTACCCATACAAAGAGCTGCAGAATGTACACTGGGGTTATATTTGTACTGGTGTGTAGAAAAGCTGTGACTACATCATGCACAACACACGGTGTGTAGAATGGAAGCTGTCAATGTTGCAATTTAACGTTTCCACACAATTACAATGACAAACATATCTTCATGTATACTGTAATGAATTCAGCAAATATTAATGTAATATTGTCTGTACAATGTACAATGTAGTATGAATGTAAAAACTATAATGGCATTTTGTATATGGTGTATGAATGTAAATATGTGCACAGAAGGGTTCCAAAAGTTTTATATTTGGCTTAACACGATATTGTACACCATATCTTGTGATTGTATAGTTCAATTGCATGATTATTTAATGTTGGTGCAGAATAAATGGACACTACTGAAATGACTCTTTAGAAATAAGTCTTTTTATTTCAGGCTTAATCTATCTACAAGTACAATGTATGAGCATAACTCTGCAATATTCTGTGATTTGTGAGCCCTATACATGTATGATATTTTATACACAAGAGATCAAAATAGTAATGTCAATCCATCTGAGTGTCTGACAAATAACTAAGTGCAGCAAGCAGTATTTCACTAGCTAGCGCAACACACATCTACAGTTTTCGTCTCCTTCGTGAACCCGTCTCCAAACCCCACAGTCCGCACCAGCGTCGGTTTCTGGTCGCACATGGGGCACAGCTGGTTCCTAACCTTAGACGACCTCATCCAGATGATGAGATTGTAGCGTTCCCCCTCCTCGATCGGCATGGCGCCGTGTTTGTGCTGGCCGCGGTGTAGGAGGCCGTACGTGGGACGGTGCCTGTGTTCCTGATAACTGGGATGGGACTGTACAACCTACGGGAATGGAACACAGAAGTTAGAAATACTTTTTATCTAAAAAGTTTATAGCAAAGAATTGATGAAAGTATGCTTGTAAATGAGCCTTCTTAACCTGTATTCTCACTACAAGCCTACTGGGGAACCCACTAGTAACATTTGACACATTAATGAAAGATATCCTATGTATGGAGATAGCATGTTCAGAACTAGGGACAGAACCCTTGTCCATAGAGACAGTATCCTGTGCATTGGGATAGCATGTTCAGCACTAGGGACAACAGCCTTGTCAGAAGAATTATCTGCATGCATATAGCTATTCATATCCATCCTATAGTGTGATAATGAATACCAGTACAGGGGCCAATGACCATAGCATATGTATACATAGAGATACAGACACATAAGAATGATACATGTAATACTAGTAGTGATTAAATCATGCATCCAGCATGTTAACATTGTGCATTACCTGTCTCATGCTTCTAAAGTACAAAGAACCCTCCTCAAACTCCTTCCCCAGTGAGACATTCAGAGTGACCTCTGCGTTGTCGTAGTGGTAGCTCAGGTCTAGGTCCTCTCCTAGCTTGTACGTCACCACAAAAGCCTCGGAGAGTGACGCAAGAGAAAACATTTGAGCTAAGGAATACTGAATGAAATCAATTAATCAAGAAGACGGGGAAATAGAATTACAAGAGTTTTTGATAAAGGACTGAACTAATGCTGTAATACTGTAATGCTGAAGTAATGGTGCAAAACTTGGAGTTTTGGGTAGATGTTCTCACTATACTACATGTGCCTGCAAACTGGCATCACATTTATGCATTTCTTGTATCAATTCTTCATGCCTTAACTATACTGACCTAAACACCATAGAAAGTTAATGCCGCCAAGAGAGAGAAAGAAAGAGTGTACGTGTACCTTGTGTGAGTCTAGTGCATCCCCTCCCCAGTCTGGGTACAGAAGTCTGCACATGGGGCGTAGATAGTCTGTCCTCAGTGGTGTGACGAAACCTTCATCAAAACCAAGCTCATTCAGGAGAATCTAAAGTGAATAAAAGGAAAACCGCTACTTTGTGTCATTCTGTAAAGAAATACGATCTTAATGCAATCATAGGAGAAATTAAACAAAAAAGGATGGACGGCAACTTACAGTGAAGTCGTTGATAATGATTCATTCTTTCGTTTAGTCATTTCTTCTTTTGTTTATTGTATATATGTGCAGAAAGACTTAGTACTTACTCCATAATTGTTCATTGTGTTTGGCCTGCCCTTGGGAAGATTGCTTTCTTCAAAGTGAGTTATTTCTTCCATGAACTGTTGACAGAACTGCTTGGTAAAAACTGGGAACTCATAAACTCTGTCATCTGAAAAAAAAATCAGGGACAGAATACCATTAGATAAATGATGGGATTGATGAAAAATGTACAACATGAGTCATAACAAAAGTCTTAACTAGCTAACATTACATAGTGCAAACATTAACAGACAAATTAATCTAACTTACTCACCTGGTTTTGAGGTAACAAACTTCATGACATCTTCTGGACTAGTGTCACTTCTTCTGGACATTTCAACCAACTCCAAGAACTCTGGTGCAAAGAAGGATTCCTGAAGGATGAAATCACAGTAGAAATATTGTATAAACAGAATCAAGCATACTTCAGATGCTCTAATGTTGATTCCTGGTAAGCCACAATTTCATCCAGTCTATTTTCCTGCTACTAAATGAATATTCCATTTCACATTCACCAACATTGACCTGTCCTTGGTGCTGAATGACATTCACATGTGTAAAACCAAATCTTTTCTCGGTGCTGACTTTATTTTTACAGACCTTGAACTGACAACACTGCTCAGGAACCCACCTGTAATGTGTAGACGTGAGGATGGAGTGGTCTGTACTCTGTTCTGATCTGTTTTCTTCTCTCCAGAGACTGCTGAAACAGGTTCTGTCTTCTCTCCAACTCACTCTTCACCTGTGATTTAAATAGCATAGGGGTCATTCAAAGTACAAATCATGATGATACTTTCGTTTGTCCAATTTTACAGAGTTGTTGTATCAACTAGGCAACCTTGCAACTAAACGATTCATATTTTGCTATTGTATAATAAACTGGAGGAAAAACTGGTGTAAGAGATAGTCACCTGTGCCAGGACTTGGTCCCACTGGTTGTCTGTATGACATCCGTATTTCTTCATTACCTGTAACATTTGAACATATAACGTTATTGGTTTATGTTCGATCTAGAGCATTAAACCAGTAAAGGAAAGACGGCATAACGTACTAATAATTGTCAGCGAAACAGCTTGTCAACAGTCATTACGTAATCTGCTGTACAAGGGGGGGGGGCTTTGGTCAGATAACGTTCTAAAAATCTAAAACACACTATCTTGGAAAACGTTCACATTGGGGTCAAACCTGCTTGTAGTCCTCCCCAAACTGCGCGTCATCCCTGTACACCACGTGCACGTTGTAGTCCTTCAGGTAGAAATTGTTCGTAAAGAAACACCTGCACACGTAAAACTCGCCACCGTCTTCTGCAGACGACCCGGAAGTCGGTGTCGCCATTTTTCAGACCAGAATTTCGGCCTTTTTCGGCTGCAGTTTTGTCGTTCTCACGACCAGTAGATTCCTCGCTACTGTAAATAAGCGAACCTGGCTCATAAGCCGACTGGCATAGGGGAAATAACTAAATGTGGACGATTTATTTTCGGAATTTTACACACAAGTTTTCAGCCCTTTGGAGCCATGTTGGATAGGTGATACCATTTTATCAAAGGGGTACGGTTGCGTTTTCCAAAATAAACCTACCTGTGAGTTGACAAAACACGTATTCACATACTCATACCTTAAGAAAGTGTATTTTGACAAATGCGGTGGTTTTACTCGCAGATTTTACTCGCAGTTGTTTACGAAATCATTTATATGATTCACCCCCTTGTAGGCAATGTGATATCCCAGATGTTACTATCAATTGTAAACATTGTAAGTTGTATGGCTTCGAGTTACATTGTACATCATGTCGTGTGCGTTTGTAGTAACTGTTCTCGTGACGTTCTTTTAGACACTGCTATGTGGACTCCTCTTGAAAAAAATCCAATGACATGCCTTATTCCTCAATAAAACCATTAACACACATTTATGTGCGGTACAATAAAGTGGGTTCAAAGGTTCAATTTTCATAGTCAATTGACCTGGAAGGAAAGACTTGAACAACTTTGCACTATTTTTGGCTCAAGCTGGTAGCTGACGGTACAATTATTCCACAGACAATAAAGAAATACACGAGTACCTGAACAGCATGTGCATTTCACACCGTGTATTACACCATTAGAAACATTTTGTACAAAATTCCTCATGAATTATTTGCACAATCAAGCTTCAAACTCAGAACATTGAAATGGCTGCAACTGCCTTGCCCTTGGGGAACAATTCGCCCACTCAGTCGTTACGCTATTGTTTTCTTCCGCTGAACTGTAATGTTCCATGTATCTCGTGATCCTCCTCGTTGAACAGGGGGAATAACACTAAACATAAGATCTTCAAATCCGTGTGGGGAAAAAATCGTGGCCAGGTAGAGCCCAGGGCATTCATCCGATCCGGGTTTGCAGAATACAAAGCATTTAGGTTTCTTCGCTTAAGCCCGAGTTGTACTGCCAAACGTAGAAGAACGCCATGACCGTACGGGTCGACATCTTCTTGGCGTTGCTGACTGTTTACGCAATGCTGGGGGAAGCTCGAGTACTACAGCAGACAGGTGAGTTTGGATGTGGTAGAAAACTTTTTAATTAGTTTTACTCACTAAACCAACGCTCATTACAGCAGCATCTCTTGTTCTCTTGTAATTTTCTATTACTGTTGCTAGATTCGACGTAAATGATAAAGTGTTGACTCGCCAAAAAGCAGTTACTCAAGCAACTGGATATGATTTTGGAAACGGTCAGACGGTCAGTTAGTATCCACTTGCCTTCGTCAGTGACTGAGAGAACAGAGGAGAAATGCAGGTTTATAAGCACTAACTATTGATTGATATGCAAATAAAGAGAATACAATTTTTTGGAAGTCGAAAAGGGAACAAAAGTCAGACAAGTCGAGACAAGATAATGCAAATTAGTCTGAAAGCTCCTGTTATACAGAACAGGAGCTTAAGTGTTGTCTGTCCTCGGGGCTGGGAGCGCCAAATAACAAGTGCCGGAGAGATCGACCCGTAGCCCCCCTTCCCTGTTGACGGTGGGGTTGTACATTCTTTCATATATTGCCTCTTTAACATCCCGTTCCCACCAGCGTGTTTCGAGGTCTAAGATATCCGTGGACTCGAGTTTGAAAGAGTGACCCTGGTTGTGTTGTAGGTGGTGGAAAATAGCGTGGTATTTGACATTTGGCGCTCCCAGCCCCGAGGACAGACTTTCTGACTAATTTGCATTATCTCGTCTTGACTTGTCTGACTTTTGTTCCCTTTTACACTTCCAAAACATTGTCTTCACTTTATTTGCATATGATAATATCAATCAATAGTTAGTGCTTATAAAATGCATTTCTCCTCTGGTCTCTCAGTCACTGACGAAAGCTTAAGTGGATACTAACTGACCGTCTGACGGTTTCCAAAATCATATCCAGTTGCTTGAGTAACTGCTTTTTGGCGTATCGTATTACCTGGATGTCTAACCTTCATCGACGTTAAGTGTTGACTGTTTTGACTGTAAAATGACAATCTTAGCATGGAAGTTCACCTGTGATGGTAAACGTCATTATGAAATAACGACTGAACTCTAAATTTCAACACTTATACTAAATTAGGACTTACCCAAATTTTCGGTAACTATATTACACCGAATGAGCTGTTACACCCAACCTCTGCACATCTAACTGTACTAGCCGGGCCCTGTTTAAAGCTATCCAGTGTTGATGCGATAGAAATTTCTAGAGTTCTGTGCAGGCTACGTCTGTTTTCGCAGTGATGTTTATCCACTCTCCATTGACTCTTTGAATGGAGGGCTGGATGCGTAGCTCATACTCAGTATCAGGCCTCAGATCGTGGAAAACTTCTGCAGTTCTCTTGTCTGTGGTGGCCTGACCAGGGGGCGCAGCCTGGGGATTTGATTTCAATGACGTAGAGTGTGACGTCATCGCTGGCAGGTGCCCAAGTCACGTGTATGGTGTTACAGGTCTTAGCTTCCACTCGGAAGTCTTCCAGCTCCGGAACTGTGTTGAGGAAAGAAGTTGCGTTTTACTAATATGAAATGTTTATCAATTTGGGATTGACGTAGAATAAGACCAACTAGAAAGGCCGACATTTGCTTGGAAGCACATACAGCATATTTCAGTCCATCTCCCTCCCACGCAAAAGTGGACTATTCCAAACTTACCCCAGTGCAAAACTGGCAAAGGTTCTCAAATAACTGAATTAAATAGTAGCTATATGAGAACAAAGATGCTAGAACAAGTACTTTGAATCTCGTAAGCTTTACTAATCTTATTACAGGTATGCAAATACTAACAATGATGAGATTTGATACATTTTGAAGGTCTTAGGCACATAAAATTGAATGTGTGGGTCATTGCGCACCACTTAGGTGCAATGTGACCTCAGGTAATCCACAATGGAACACGTGTTCCATGGATGGAACGGGCCATTCTTTGGATAGAACATGGAACGGGTTCAGCACTTTTGGCCCTTTTTTGCTGAAAATAGCCATTAAAGTCCCCCAAATGAGTCATTTGGAAGTGGTGTATGCCAAATACGTGACTGCTATTCTGTAGACACATGTTCAAGGTACCCTTATACCGAATGTCATATCATTTGGTTGTAATACCAGGGCTCAGGATCCAAAAATCCATTTGTTGTCGAAAAATGCCCCAAAAAACCTTCATAAAAATTTTTCAAAGGCATTTATCAAAAAAATGAAGAAAAAAAATGCCCACTCTACCTCCATGCCCAATTTTGGGTCATTTGGCTGAATGATGGCGGAGTTGAATCCCTCAGAGCGAGTGGCAGGAGGAGAAGAAGAAGAAGAAACATGAGGGAACACAATATATTTCATCCATACCATGGTATGGACTGAAATATAATAAAGCAAAGGATAAACTCTCTCATTAAAAAATAAAGATTATCTTTGTACAATTTCAGCAATGGTTTTTGGATGGAATTGAAAGCATTTCCGAACCCTTACGGTTCAGACTTAAACAGGAACATAAGATAATTAGGCTCACAGAAAAAGGTCAAGTGATTGGTAAAAATGTTGAAACCAGGTACATGTATCAGGTGAATGGTAACTGCCTGGTGATACTGTCTTTGCAGCCGCCAAAACTGATTTGTTTGGAGATCTCTCAGGCTACATATTATAGAATGTAAAACGTTTTGGCGATTACGTAGTGAAGCTCACGTTCCCAGTATTTTACTGCATCTTCCGGGTATGAAACAATCTCGAACCCAGAGCAGTCTTTTGATTAATGCGATGTGCGCGCGGGACGCTGGGTACGAGATTGGCCTGGACGGTGACTCATGTTGGGGAATCCCCGACTGGGGGAACACCTGCGATGTGACACTGACGTACTCTCCAAGCAGAGGTTGTGGGGGAATGATCGTTATATATTAGCCGTGGCGACTCTTGGTTCGAGCTTACATTGCATTACCCTCAGCAAGAGTCGTGGAAAGATCCATTTGCAGAACTGCACATTTCCCGTTGGCTGCACGATGCTCCGTTTTCGACCCGGTTTTTGCTGTCCCGAGCTTCCCTACAATATAAGTTTATAACTCCACAGTTGGCCGGGTTGCCGATGTTCAGATCGGCCTATATATTCCACAGCGCGACCGAAAACTACCTAACCTCACTTATTTACGAACCGGGCGGCCATCTTGTATATAGTCGGGAATGTCCGGTGCAGCCGTCGGGACCGCTCGGTAGGCTTTCCGGTTATGATCGGAGAGTTTTCGGTCGCGCTTCGGTAATCACGACGCTACCGAGCGTTCCCGACGACAGTGGTAGCGGACATTCCCGACTATATACAAGATGGCTGCCCGGTTTGAAAACTTAGCGAGTTTAGTAGTTTGGGATTGCGCTGTGAAATATTTAGGCCGATCTGAACATCGGCAACCCGATTTTTTCTTGGGGGGGGGGTCCGGCAACCTTCTGTGGCTATTGGATACTGTCTTGCCACCGAAAGGGATCTGCTTGGAGATTAGCACTGAAGGATCCATAAATAGCACATTCACGCGTGATGCTCACAGGTTTGGACAGGCCTGGGATCTTACTTGGCTTATAAATCAAGATTTATAACCTAGGAAAGCAACATTTACAGAGCAATGTGGTTCTTGTCTAGCCTAACATAACAACCTTCTGTTCTGTTTATTCTTACTCCAACACATTCACGTAAATGGTGATCACCCCAACTTGCTACATAAATGTAATTCAACAAAACTCTACTACAGCATCAGTTACCATGGTGACGTCTACCGCCAGGTCATTGACCTCATGTGTTTGGAGAAGAAAAAAACAGAGCAAATTGAAAAGTAATAGGTTTTCCTACTAAGACGCCGATACACATAGCGTTTGAAACTGCCTTTCTTCTTTTTTTTCCTTATCTGGTTTGAACGCAACCCGGGCACATAATGTACCACATACATGCAATCACCCCAGGCGAGTTGTCCCAGTCCCAAGGCCAAGTGCGGACGAAGCGGGAATTATCAAACAACATCAGCCGTCGTGTTGACGTCAAGTATTACCTCCACACGCGCGGGAACGAAGGAAACCCGACAGAACTGGAGGATCCTGACGGCACTCCTGACGTCAGCGGCACGCCCTTCCGCAGCAGCCGCCAGACCAAGTTCATCATACACGGGTTCCAGAGTAGCGGGAAGGAACAGTGGATTCTCAACATGGCCAACGCACTGCTGCAAGCGGTGAGTCAGCTACATGTATATATCAACCAATCGATCAAGCAATCAATATATCGATTGATCTATCAATCTATCGATTAATGGTTAACCTGCTTGTTGTAATATATCTATGATGCAGTTAGCATGCAATGGAATTGACTTGACGTTTCTAAACATTTTCATTGCTTTCGTCAGAAGGGTATGTTTTCGGTTGAGTCTGGTGGAGCAGCTGTGGTAACGTATACCACATTAGTATGTATAGTTTAAGTGTTATTGCATAATGGTAACTGCCAGAAATTTCCTGTTTTTTTCTTCAATGAAATTCTCTGCTACCCTGTATAACTAGCTAGCAAGAGATGGAACAAATTTTACAAAATGAAAAGTAGTCACTTCGGTGACGGTTAGACATCCAGGTAATAAGATACGCCAAAACTGGAACTGGATATGATTTTTGAAACGGTCAGACGTGTCAGGTAGCATCCACTACCTTTTGTCAGTGACACTGGAAACTGTAAGAGAAATGCAGGAGTATAAACACGAACTATTTGGTGAATAGTAGTCACTTTTTTCTGGTTGTCTCTCCTAACAGGAGGATGTGAACGTGTTTGCCGTGGACTGGCACAAAGGCGCCAGCCCGTGGACCCTGCGTCCCTATCGGGCAGCCACTAAGAACTGTCGGACGGTTGGGCAGGTCAGCAGATTTAAATTTGTGACGTGACAAGATTCCTTCCATGGTTGGAATGTATCTGTTTCTGAAAAGCACGTCGTCCAAAAGATGGAAAATGATTTGTTTCAAGCCTCAGTCTAAAGCCTAGCCTGGGTACCAAGTCCGCTCCCACAGTTGCTACCGGGCAACTGTGGGAGACATATTAGCTAACCGGGATGTTACCCAGGCTATGTAAAGCCACATGTAAAATATAATTTTACAGAAAAAAACATTTTGCAGTTTTAAGATCCTTTATAAAGTTAAGTTTTTGCAGCTTTAAGACCCAGTAATATATCGTTAGCTGACTTTTGAATGCTACGATACAGAGAATAACAGTTAGTCATTATATTAATCAATTATGTTCTTGTCAAGACGGACAAGAACAGAACTGTACGAAACCAGATTGATTTTGTACTAGGGCGAATCAAGCAGAGACGTACAGTCACACAGGCACGAGCATATCACGTCCCGGAGATCAGCACTGATCACCGTATGGTAGTCGCCACCATCTGCTCGCCTCAAAAGGTGTGGTTTTCCAACAGATCCACACGGACGAAGGTGATCAGGTTAGGAGAAATCCGAAACGACAAGGACAAGCAGGAGCAGTGGGGGTCAGTAGTATCGGCAACAGTAGCGGCACAAGAACCCACCACGTGGGATGAAGCGGCATCCATGCTTGTACGAGTAGAACAGGGAAGAAAGATACTAGGCACGGAACAGCGTAGTAAGCGCACACAGACCTACTTCACGGACGACCCACTAGTTGCACAGATGTCAAAGCAGCAAAAAGATCTACGACATCATATACAACAACTCAAGAGGGGAATAGTGACCCGTGCCACACAGGACAGAGTTAAAAACCTCACTGTGCAGAGAAGGAAAGTGCAACACGAGCAGCGTAAGAGAGTACGTGAACTGGTCACTGCCAAGCTACACGCTCAAGCAGCAAAAATAGAGGTCATCAAGGACGACAATGCAAAGATGTTCGCCGCTATGAAGGACCTAAGGTTTAGTGGCGGAGATCCTCTCGCAGTTCGCTCCTCCAGCGGCGAGATGCTCATTAAACCGCTAGACCAGGCCAACACCATCTCGAAACACTTCGAAAGTCTCTTTAACATCGACGCAGCGCCTCTCCCTGAGTTTCAGGCTGCCCCCCTGCGCAACCCAGTAACAGCCACAGAAGTTGCCCGGGCAGCTTCACGGCTGAAGAACGGACGCAGCTACGGGGCAGATGGCGTCGACAAATGAACTTTTGAAGTACTGCTCCTCCAAGCCGGACGACCCAATGGCTATCACGATAGTAAAGATAATAAATGCTATGTTCAGCAAAGGAGAGGTCATAAAGCCA